AGAGAATGGAGAACATTTCACCGAATGGCGGTGTTCTCATACTAAATAAGAACACTTCACCGAGGACGGTTGCTTTCTGACAATCTCTTGCTAGACCGTTGCTGACTTGTGCCATGGCCATGTTGCAGACAGCGACCTCCGGCCGGGGGACCTGGTCTCGCGCCTGCTGGCCGCCACGCCGCCCTACCTGTACTCGCTGCCGCACCCGACGTCCTTCTTCTTCAGCGAGATGCTGCGCGGCCTGGTGGCGGCCAAGGCGGCGGCGGCCTCGGGCGGCGGGGCAGGCCCGCAGCCCCACGACGGCCCGCTCCCGCACCACCCGCCGTCGCGCCGCCCGCGGAAGCGCACCTGGCGGGAGGCGGTGAAGCAGCAGCAGCAACAGCAGCAGCAGCAGGGCGGGCCTCCAGGACTCAGCTGCCCGCCGCCGCTGGGTGCCCCCCCGCAGCACCACGACAAGCCCCTCGAGCTCACGACCCCGCGCTCCGCCGCCATGGCCGCGCTGGCCGAGGACAAGCCGCCCGCGCCGGCCGCGTCCTCGTCGCCGCCCCCGGGGGCGCTGCACCCGCCCCCGATGGGACTCGGCATGCTGCCGCCGCTCGGGTCGCCGCCCCCCGACATGCTGCTGCCCCCCGGCGGCCCCCACGGCGGCCCCCACGGCCCCCCGCTGTGGTACCCGCCGCCCGCGCTGTACCCGCTGCCGCACCAGCCGCCCCTGCAGCCGCTGCAGCCGCTGCAGCCGCCGTACCCGCTCGACCCGCTGCACTTCTTCATCGACCTGCGCGTCTCGGGGCACATCAAGGCCAAGGAGGGCGAGAACAAGCACTGCTCCGCGTTCAGCGTGCCGCAGCCGCGCGGGAAGTCGGTGACGGGCGGGCCCGGCGTGCTCGCCGCCCCCGGCAGCCCCACCCCCGCGCCCGACAGCCCCGGCCAGGGCCAGGGCCCCAACTACGTGCTGCAGAACCTGTCGCGCATCTACGACGACGTGCGTCCCTTCTGCGGCCAGGCGCGCAAGGCGGGCGACGAGGCCAACAACAACAACGACAGTCCCGGCTGCAACACGACGTGCAACAGCGGCGGCTGCGAGGACGACAGCAAGCCCGTCGTCCTGGTGGAGCAGAAGACCGAGAGCAAGGACGACGACGAGGAGGGTGGTGGCGAGGCCAGCGACGAGGAGAAGAAGAGGAAAAAGAAGGACATCCGCGCGCTGCTGGGGCTCGAGCTCGTCGTGGACTACGTGAACCACAAGCGCAAGCGGAGGGCCGATGACTCGTCCGACGACGAGGTCGACTCGTCAGCCTCCCCACGGCCTTCCCCACCATCCTCGCCGTCCTCCGGTCGGTCTCCGACGCGGTCGTCCCCGCCGCGCGCGTCCCCCGCGCGCTCCCCGCCGCCGCGGTCCCCCCTCCGGCATTCATCGCCGCCACGATCGTCGCCCCTCCGTGCGTCTCCACAGCAGCGCTCGTCTCCCCAGCAGCGCTCGTCTCCCCAACAGCGCTCGTCGCCAGCCCGCTCGCCACGGCCGCGTTCGCCCATGCGACCCATGTCGCCGTCGCTCTTCCTCCACCAGCACCAGCAGGCGCTGAGCAACGCGCTGGGCCACCTGCAGCTGGGCCAGCTCGGCCAGCTCGGCCAGCTCGGCCAGCTGGGGCAGCTCGGCCACCTGCAGACGCCGTTCCCACCCGGACGGCCTCACCAGGGCGGCCACCTGCATCCGCACTTCCTGCGGGACGCCGCCGACGCGCTTAACCTCCACGTCAGGCACCAGTGAGCACGCGTCGGGGATGGAGTTAATTGTCATAATTAGACCGAAATGTTATGTGATAAAAAACTAACATCGGACAGATTGTTTGCGGAAGCCAGCAAAAAGTATATGCAGTTAGAAGTAGTGATCTAAAAGAAAATCGATTTTAAAAATTCTTGAGTTAATTATTCTATGTGTTGTGTAAATAATGTAAATAATCGCCTCTTTGTACATCGGAAGCCAGCAAAAAGTATATGAAGTAGAAGTAGTGATCTAAAAGAAAATCGATTTAAAAAATTCTTGAGTTAACTATTCTGTGTGTTGTGTAAATAATGTAAATAATCGCCTCTTTGTACATCGGAAGATAAAACTACGTCAATCCTGTTCCTTGTTACCCATCTGTGTGTATGCAAAAATAATAAAAGCATAAAAAACAAGGCCCGTGATTTGGTGTATCAGCCCCACCACCACCGACACCCCCCGGACTGGTGCTCCCGTATTCCTCGCGCGTCGGAAGTTGTAGCGAGCCTGATTGTCTCCGCGCTGCTGGAGCTGAAGCTGGAGCTGGAGAAGAGGCGCGACAGTGAGGACTCGAGAGGGGAGCCGAAGGGAGAGGGACGCACAATCTGTCAGCGACGCGACACAAACCGCAAACAAACCGAACGAAAATGGGCGCTATTCATGGCTTGGGGGAGAGGAGGGGGCGGCAGGGGGGTCCGCAGCATTATCGTGTTGTTTCAGGCGCGGGACCACCACCAGCCCGGCGGCAGCGCAGCCCCCGCAGCCCCCGCAGCCCCCGCAGCCGCCACTCTGCCGTTTTAATCCTATTCAGAAACATCAGCCTCTTCATTACGGCTATAC